TCTCCCCCCTCCCCCTACTCATCCTTAGCAGCTTCTGATCTGTGACACTTTTAGATCCAACAACCTGGACCCTGAAGCTCAGTGTTTCATTCTTTAGTGTTTTCTGTGGACTTTCAATCAATCAAGGGAATTGATCCCTCAAAGACGTTCCTCCAGCCCAACCCACTGAGGTACCCCTATCCTCTCCTGGGGTTAGCCTTAGTCCACAGGGGCTGTGCTTGACCCCCACAGACATCACTTGACAAGGAGCACCTTGCATTTCTCTCAGTTCTTCTTTTTTTTTTTTTTAATTTTTTTTTAACGTTTATTTATTTTTTTGGGACAGAGAGAGACAGAGCATGAACGGGGGAGGGGCAGAGAGAGAGGGAGACACAGAATCAGAAACAGGCTCCAGGCTCTGAGCCATCAGCCCAGAGCCCGACGCGGGGCTCGAACTCACGGACCGCGAGATCGTGACCTGGCTGAAGTCGGACGCTTAACCAACTGCGCCACCCAGGCGCCCCTCTCAGTTCTTCTTAAAACATAAAACAAAGTTTGCTGGCTGGCTGCCCCATTTCTATTATATAGACCAAGATTAAATTTCTCTTGCACTAGTTTGCAGAGCTAGATGCTGGACTGAAAAGTAATATACATTTTCTCTTGGCAGGGAATCACCCAAGTGGGAATTGCCTTGAAAAATCACTGTTTAACTGAGCTTTGGGGGGGTGGGGGAGTATACACACATATATACATGCATGCCCTGGCCAGGTTGATAAACTGCTTCTCATTCATCAATAAGCTCCAGAAGTTGAAAATCAAGAGCCAGGAAAAGGGGGTTATGATATGACAACTTTAATGGTAACAGGATTGTCATGATTTTAAATTTTACATTTTAAATTTGATTCTGGGGGGGGGGAGGCAAACCATAAGAGACTCTTAAATACAGAGAACAAACTGAGGGTGAATGAGGCGGTGGGGGAGAGGGGAAATGGGCGATGGGCATTGAGGAGGGCACTTGTTGGGATGAGCACTGGGTGTTGCATGTAAACCATGAACCATGTAAATTCATGAACCATGAATCTACCCCCCAAACCAAGAGCACACTGTACACACTGTATGTTAGCCAATTTGACATTAAATTATATTTAAAAAAATAAAATACAATAAAAAAATTGATTCTGAATTCCAGGCAAAAACAGAAACATAATTGAGCAGAAACATAATTGAGCTTTTATTATCAGAAAGGAGGATCCTCTTGACCCTTCTTGGCAATAGTGAAAATACTATTACCTACCGTTTCCTCACTGAGCATTCATTATGTGCCAGGAATACATTTAGCACCTACAACAACCATGCAAATTAAGTTTTTCTCTTATGGTTGAGGAAATTCAGATTCACAGAGGTGATGACTTCTGTGAGTCTTCTCAGCTAGTAAGTGTTGGAGCCTGAATCGCTACCCAAGTATATCTGGCCCTAGCTCCCATACTGTTGTCCCAGCATATGACACACATGTATTCGACAATATTTTCATTGCAAAAAGACTACTTTGCATGGCTGTTTGACCTTCAAGTAGAAATTTCAAGACTTTGGGGTGTTTTTGGTGTCATGTTCAAAGCAGGAATGAATTGACTGATGGGAGGCTTAAAACTTTGGCCCCATCCCTCCCCTGCCTATATCTGTATCTGCATCTATATCTGTAAAACTAAACATACATGAGTGCACTGTGTTGGTGCAACTTCACAAGAATTGTGTGACTTAGAATCCTTATCAGTAACAGCACTCACATGAAAGAATTTAAATAAAGGGTAGGTGTAAAGAATGTGCTGTATCTGAGAGAATTTAAGGGCAAGAAGTGTGGCCGGGCTCCATAAGGGAAACTACAGGCAGAAGCTGGGAAATCAGAACACAGACAACTGGAGCTACTTCTCTAGGAGGTGTTATCTCTTAGCCTGGCTATCTCTCTGAACCTCCGTGTTAGGGTGACCTTCATTGTTTTCAAGTACAAGGACATCATTAGGGTTACTCTCCCAGCCTTTGATCAGTGAAATTAGGAAAAGAACCAGGCACCCAAAGCTCAGCCCTTTCCCTCCCTTTCTTCTTTGAAAGCCCCCAGAAACCCCCCAGTCTTCCTTCCTTCATCTACCTGGCTATTTAGGGCTGCCTACAAAAAGTCTCTCTCACTGTGGGGTTCAGCAATGCCACACTAAGCTATGTCTGCAAAAAGCTGATGTATTGCTCTTCCTTTGTCCATCCTTCAGTTGGCTGTGAAGTGAGGCAAAGAAAGGGGAGACCACCTAGAGGGTCTTCTCAAACTCCACATGTAGTCAAACACAGGGCTAACCAGTCAGCGTCTCACCCCACTTCCCAGACCAAGAGTTAGCAGCACCTCTGTGTTCTTTGCCCAAGTGCCTCTGAGATTCTGACTGATCTAATTTGGGCCAGTCCGCCTTGGGTCCAGTCAGTCCTGCCAGGTTCCTGGAGTCACCAGGTACAAAGAGGGAGGAGAGTCACTGGAGGAAGAGTATCAGGTTGAGCAGAAGCCTCCAGGTTCCTATTAGAGGTGGGGATTGTCATCTCCTTTTCCACAACAGGAAATTGTACCTTAGGAGAGGACAGTCTCACAGCTACTATCAGAGCTGAGATTTCTGCCCAGGTCTGATGGACTCTTGTGTTCTTAACCCAACACAGAGTAGTGAGGTCCCAGAAGCTGGCCTTGAGCTTGGTGTTCTCTAGTTGGCGTTAAAGACAATACCTGGCACCATATGTAAATATTATCTCAACAGTAACATTGAGAGCAAGGCAGAGCTAAGATTTTACCTTCCTCTTTCCAGTGGCATCTCCTTTTCCTCTTTCTGGACTGGCCTAGAAATGTGGGGCTGCACAGACTGATAGAAAGCAGACTGTATCTCATGCACAAAGTCTCCACTTAGAAGCTATGTGTCCTAAATCACTCCACTTTAAGCTCTTTGATCATCATTCATTTCCTCATCTCTTTAACAAATACACATATTAGTATATAATGCATATGTGTATTATATGTTAATAAGACATACATATATGTAGCATATGAAACATCCCATTATATGTAACTATATAATATAGATGTTTACTATTGTATCAATAAATGTATTGGATATCTACCATATCTCAGGCACTATGCTAAATAATCAAAAATGCAACAAATCCTACTAGATGCTTAACTGCTCAAGTAAGAAATGCAAAGTAAAACTAACTCTGCTGAGATAATATTTTTCTGCTCTCAGATTGCCAAACATCCTCAAATGTTCTGCAACACATATGGGTGAGGCCAAGGGGAAACATTTACGCTGATACATTGTGGGTGGGAATATAAGTGGCACAACCCCATGCCAAAATTTGTTAAAATACAAACTCATACACTCTTTGGACCAGCAATTTGTTTCTGAAAAATTGTCCTTCAGATGTTCTCTCACACATAAAAAGTAACATATGCATATGATTGTTACCATTGCTGCCTTGTTGGTAATAGCAAAAGATTAGAAATGACTTCACTGGCTATCATGGTGGGCTTGGATCAGCCATAGGGTGAAACACGGAGTGTCAGTGACAGAAGATGAGGAAACTAAGTGCTGAAATGGAAAGTTGCCAAGACATGTTGGTTAAGTGGGAAAAGCAAAGTGTGGGATAGGGTGGAGAGTGTAGAAATGTAATGCTCATGATGGCACAGTAATACAAATAATGTGGCCGTGTAGAGTAATACTAATTGTAGTATAGCAATACAAATAGGATTAGTAATGGTTAAATGCTAGTATGATAAAATAATGATAGTAATAGTAATTAGTATAGTGTGTGTGTGTTTGTGTGTGTAAAATCTTGTATAGGCATTTTAAGAACATCTCTGGAAAGATTTTTAAAACCAATATAAGGGTTTTGGGCTTTAAAAAATATATAAGTGCGGGCTACCTGGGTAGCTCAGTCGGTTAAGCGGCCGACTCTTGATTTTGACTCAGGTCACCATCTCACAGTTCATGAGTTCGAGCCCCACTCGAGGCACTGTCAGTGCAGAGCCTATTTGGGATTCACTCTCCCTCTCCTACTCTCTCTGTTCCTCTCCCACTGTGCTCTCTCTCTCTCTCTCTCAAAATAAATAAACTTAAAAATATATGAGTAGGAACCCAGGCAAATGAGAAAAGGGGTGAGAATAAAACTTTTCGCTGAATATCTTTTGAGAACATTTGAACATCATGAATGTGTTACCCATTCAAAAATTGAAATAAATACACACAATTTAAAAATAACAGCAGTGCAGTGATGCTAAGCAAGAGGCCAGGGCACCACAGGAGCAGGTGACGGGGTACCTGACATTGGTCTGCAGAGGAAATCCCTGAGGAAGTAACTTTTAAATTGAAACTTGATGGATGAATAGGCAAAGGGGCAAATGAGTGAATGAGGGCTGTCCAGGGAAAAGGATCCCGCATGCAATAGCCCCCAGGAGGGAAAGAGCTTCATAGTCAAGGAACAGAAACTATCACGAGCAGCTGCAATGCAGACACAAGGGGGTAGGGAGATGGGGAAGCGGTAGCTAAATACAAAGCGAGGGGCCAAAGTATGCAAGCTATGTTAAAAAATTTGGACTTTATCCGAAGGGCAGTGGGAAGCCATTGAAAGAGTTTAAGCAGGAAAGTGATGGGATCAAGGTTATGTTTTGAATAGATTGCTTTGGAACCTCTGAGGAGAAATGATTGGGGGAAGCAAAAGTGGATGTTGACAACTCATATATCTGAGAAACCGCTCTGGAGCACTATCTGGTGGTTTTGTATAAAGTTAAACATACACCTACCCTCTGACCTGGCAATTTCATTCTTAGGTATTTATCCAAGTTAAATGAAAACATATGTTCACAAGAGCATTTGCACAAGAATTTTTATAGCAGCCGTATTTGTGAGAGCAAAAATTATTTCCCCCAAACCCTACAAATTTTTATCAAAAGATGAGTTTTTTTTTTTTTTTTTTTACCTTCAAGGTTTTTTATTATGGTCTTCCTTAAGTTTTATCCTTATTGGGATAAAGATTAAGTATTTCTACACTACTCTTAATTAAGTCTCAAGTCACAACAAAAACATATAGAAGTAATTCTTTTTTTTTTTTTAAAGGACACTCAAAAGAAAACAATCAAGTACTCTGAGTACTTTCTTCCATTCTCCTATCCAGAATTTCAAGGCCTCTGAAAAACAACATGAATGAAAATAGTGGTTCTGAGACCTAAATTTGTTATAATTTTTTGCAGTCTTTTTCTCAGCCAAAAGCTACCTATTCAAATTAATCTGAATGAAGCATTTCAAAATAAAAATGTAAAAGACTACCCTTACATGCCTTAAGAAAATTATTTGTGATATACACACTCCTAAAAATTTAGATAGGTTTATGTGAATAAAATCCCAAATAAAGATTAAAAAATAAAGTCATTTTAGAAATAACTCTGGTTACTCCCATACCAACCACACAGGTCATATGAGGATTTAAAATGCAATCATGAATTTTGAAAAAATAAACATATATATATATATATATATATTCTTATCTATAAAAACACTAGCATACAAACTTCAAACTAAAAGGTTATCCAAAGTAACACACAAATGTTCTAAATCTTAAGGAAACTTAAAAATATCTCTTCTATGTGTAAATAAAAGCAGAATAAAACAGATCTGAATGCATTATTAGGTAATTTGCTCTGGAAACCTGTTAATAAATTATTGGTGGAAATTCTCAATAGTCATTATGCTGCTACCCGAAGCACATTTTCTTCAGTGAAAGCGTAAGTAAACTAATAGACTTTATGTTAGTCATCACATATTACAACCAAGAATGACTCTGACAATAACAGGAGTGGTCACACAGTGCCTCAGATTCAGCTGTGTCTTGAATTTCTCACTGAAGGATTAGGCCAACCTACCTTTGGGACAATTTTATCAGTAGACACAAACAACAGGTGTCTTTTTAATCCTGTTCTTTTAAAGTCTGTATCACTAGTCTATAACAGAGAGCAATGAGAGAGTTCTAGCAGATGAAGCAAGAGGGTAACTGTGTTCTAGAAGAAACATTTATCTGTCTTTCGATCCAAGCTTCTCAATTAATTCCTGAAGAGGTGCCAACTCACGCCTATCAATCAGATTAAACTCCTGAACAAAGAAGATAAAGTGCTTAAAGGAGGTGTTGAGGTGGGCCTCCTCTTGCAGCTGCATCACAGAATCAAAGTGCTGGTGATAAATATGGGCATAAACCCGGAACAGACGCTTTAGAATGGTCTTCGCCACAGACATAAAGTTTTTGGGAAACGGGACACCAATCTTGGAAGGAAAAAGAGTTTCATCATCAAGCTGATCCTGAACCCAAGTCATCAAATAGTCAATGTATTTTGGAGCAGAACATTTGATTGGCTTTTTAATATTGGTACCATCTGCCCAATGATATTCATATCTTGGACCTGCAGACATGACTGGACAGCTTGCTTCAGTGCAGAATTCTGTAATAGTCCCATATAACATGTTGATCTGGTTGAAGAAATCCACAGTGTTAACAGCAATCCATTCATTGAGGTCCTCTCCCTCTGGTAACATAACAGCTTGTCTCAGATTCCCACTTCCCAGAGTTGCTTCTGCATGTTTTAAGAGTTCATACTGATGAGAGCCCTCAGGGATATTCTTCTTTGGTTTGAACGTTTTGGAAGAGCGGCTGCTGAAGAGGAAGCTCATCTTCTATCCTCGGAGGGGAGGGGCCGTTGGCCCCCGCCGCGGTCTGGACTCGTAACCCGCGCGGGAACCACGAGGAAGCGGACAGCCCTCAGCTCTCCGCCAGCGGAAACACCGAGCGCCGCTGCTCCGAGCCTCAAAAGATGAGTTTATAAGCAAATTGTACAATTATACAATGGAATACCACTCATCAATGTGAAGGAAGGGACACCTGATACACACAACATGAATGATTCTTAAATCCATGAAAAAGAAAGACACAGAAATGCATATACTGTATGATTCTATTGACATGAAATGAAATCCATGTACAGAAAAAATCGTCTATAGTGGTAGAAATCAAAAAGTAGCTGCCTGGGGGGAGAGGGAAATTGGTGAAATGAGGGAATGCTCTGGGGCGGTGGAAATGTTTTGTATCTTGTACATGGCAGTTACACAGTGTGTTCAACTGTCAAAACTCATCAAAGTAAACAACTGACACTATGCTTTTCATTGTTAAGTATAGCCCAGTAATTAAAAAAAAAAAAAAAAAAAAAAGGAAGAATGAAATAGTGGTCATTGAGAAAGGTAGGAGGTGTTTCTAATAATCCAGGAGAAAAGTCATGCTTGCCTGGTACCCTATGGTGGGGAACAAGTAAAATAATGTATAGGAGAAGGCAAACTACAAAGTCCATGCAAACCATAAGGTTGTATACAAGCTGTCAAGCCCTGTGCAAAAGTGAAGATTTAGTCAAACCTAACCCATAGCAAATTCTGGGGGTGAATGTGGGACATCTGAGTGCCTGAGACAGTCCTGTGTATTTGCAGTGAAGGATTGGGGGCTGTTAATCATGATCTTTCTTGTTGGTTTGTCACCATGTGGCAGGAAATGGATCCAGTGGCCACTGAGATGCATCAGAACGCTTGATCTTGAGGCAAAAATAAAGCTGTGGTGGGGTGCCTGGCTGGCTCAGTCAGTGGCTCCTGTGACTCTTGATCCCAGGGTTGTATGTTCAAGCCCCACCCACGTTGGGTGTAGAGATTACTTAAAAATACAATCTTTAAAAAAATTTTGTAAATAATGAAGGGTAAGTGGGGAGCCGGAGCTGCCTTTGCCAGGCATGGTTTTCTACTAAAAACTGGGCTTTCCAAACAACAACAACAAAAATGCATTTAGCTCCTGGGCTTGACTCTTGAATTTATTTATTTATTTATTTTAATGATTAGGGTTTGAAGGATACAGAGAAAAGGAAGCAGGCTGTCAGTTCCTGAGGCAGGGGCCATAATGATCAGTGACATGGCCACCCAGTGTTCAGGAGAATTTGCTGGGAGCTGAGGGCGTGTGGGAAATCCACGTGGGCTGCTTGAAGCATCTGCCTCTGAGTGCAGACAGGTTTAGGGAAACAGCTGTGTGGACACCAGTCAAAGCCATCTGAAGAGTTGGTTCCTCACCATCTAACTGAACGCAACTTTTTAATGTGCTTTTGCTCAATGTTAATAAATCCCTAATTATTTGCTTGCATTTTATGTTTATTTTTCTCCCCCCGAAAGCACTCTGAGTGAGCAGACACAGCTGGGTCCTCCCCAGCCACACAAAGGGATGCTAAACACCCTGCACTGTACCTGAGCACTTTGTCCATGAAGAGACACTCTTGCACAAGTCGGGGCCTTAGATTCCGTGACCTAATGATCCTCTTCAGCGCTGCATTGGACATTTGCCATATTTTTATTATCTAGTGTCTGTCACTGAATCCCCCTCTCTTTCTAAAGATTGACTTCTGTTGTATTTTCTCCTGGTGTGAGGTAGGACCTATCTTCCACATCGAAAATAAGATCGGGGTGCCTGGGTGGCTCAGTCAGTTGAGCATGCGGCTCTTTGTTTTGACTCAGGTCATGATCTCGTGGTTTGTGGGGTCAAGCCCAGTTCTGGGCTCTCTGCTGTCAACGCGGAGCCTGCTTGGGATTCTCTCTCTGCTCCTCCTGCACGTGTGCACGCTCTCTCTCTCAAAATAAATTTAAAAACTTAAAAAAAAAA